ATACATATCACAACATTGACCTTAAATTGTATCAGTAAATGAAAATCCATTCCAATACAAAGTATTCATATCTACACCATAATTCCCTTTTTACCTTTAAAAAGAACTGGCTGTGATCATTAACCATTTATAACCAACCCCATTAAATGAAAACAAACATTTATAAACAATATTTGGGAATTTGGGCGTCGTTCTTTTTAAACTACTTCCTGCTGGTAGGGGGCGCTGTCATGGGGGATCCTAAGAAGATGTAGTAATCCTGGCTGTAGTCTGTAAGACTGCCTTGTCCAAGCTGTTTTGAATGTTGGATCATCAGGAACTCTGTTTCAGGGGGTCTGGCTTGCTCAAACCACATTAGTCTGGAAGGAATCCACAGTTTTTTAATTTCTGTGGAAACAAAAATAGAAATCCTTTTCCCCAGTAACTTGTCCTTGAACTTAAATTTTTGAGTCAAAGCATTTTTAAAATATATAAATTGAATTAATCCAGCAGCATTTCCTTTATCAGTTGTTATTTTCTCAGCAGTCAAACAATGCAGAGACAGCACAATAGCATACAGTAACCAGATTCTCTCTGAGCTTTTCATCTTTACATGGCTTTATTATTACTCTGTTTATTTTACTTTTATTTTTTGAGACAGGGTTTCTCTGTGTAACTCTTATCTGTCCTGGAATTCACTCTGCATACCAGGTTTACTTTGAAATCACAGAGATCTGCTTGCCTCTGTCTCCCGGGTGCTGGGATTAAAGGCGTGTGCTACAACACCCAGTTCCTCTTTGTCTCTTTAAAACCATTTTTTTTCATGTCTACGTATATTTTAAAACACACTGTAAATCTTTAGAGGTTTTTCTTAATATGAAACTGTCTTTACTGTAAATCTTTATCTTTGTCTGGCCACAAGTCCTTTATCTGGTAAACAACAACATTGCTAAAATGAAAGTCATAGCTGTGTCAGCCTCGGTTTACCAAAGATGGTGGCGGGTACTTTTACCCGCCAGCACAGAAAGCTGTGTTCACCGCCTTGGTCTGCGCTGCCACCCAGAAAGCATTCTGCAGGCTTGGAGATATGGTCACTGCCATTGCCATCTCTCATACACACCAATAAATTGTTAGCAGAGTTTCTTGAAAGCCTTGCGGGTTTTTGCCACATATGCTGAGTCAGGAATCTTCCCTTAAAGGAGCCACGCGAACGCCGTTGGGCGCCATTTGTAATGTGTATGGTTTTTCCGCCCGCCGCCGCTGGTCTTGTCCCGCCGCCGCACCAGCCCCAAATAATACACAGAGACTCTGTATTAGATATTATACTGTTGGCCAGTTACTAGTTTCTTATCGGCTAGCTCTGCCTTAATTATTAATCCATTTCTGCTGATCTATGTATTTCTCTTACCGGGGAGCCGGCGGCATACTGCTTTCTCCAGACTCTCCATCTTGACTCCTCCTTCCTACTTCCTATTTCCTCCTTGTCTCCTAGTCCCTCCTATCTTCCTTTCCTATTGGCCAACAGTGCTTTATTATTAACCAGTATGAGAAACATATACAGAATGGCATCTCCCATCAGATGAGTACCTTATCCACCATCATAGAGCCCTCATATAGTAGCTGATGGAAACAGAAGCAAACACCCACAGCTAAACACTGAGCTGAACTGGAATCCAGATGCAGAGAGGGAGGACAAGACCAGGCTACAGAAACCCACAGAGATAGCTGACCTGAACAAGGAGCAAATGGGCCCCCAGATGATAGCTAGGAATCCAGCATGGGACTGACTCAGACCCCCTGAACATGGGTCTCAGTTAGAAGGCCTAGGCAGTCTAAGGGACCTCTGACAGTGGAACCAGGATGTATCCCTGGTGCACAAAAGGACATTGGACATTCCCCATGGAGGGATACTCCCTTAACCTAGAGGTAGGAGGAGGGCCTAGTCCCTCCCTACTCCAAATGACTTGACAGATTTAGATGACCCCTCCTGGAAGGCATCACCCTCCCTGTGGAGTTGGGGGTGGGAGTGGGGTGGGAGGGTGAGGGGGGGATGCAATGAAGTGAAGGAAGAAGAGAGAGAGGGAGGGAGGGATGGAGAAAGGGAGGGACAGGGAACTGGGATAAGAGCAAACTCATTTAAAATAAAAAAAAAGTTGCTTATCTGTTCTTGATTAAATTTTGGTTAATGATATCTATCCAGAAAAAATAAGTTTCATAAAACTTGCGAATTATTTTCTTTCCTGTTGATTGTGATTGGTACTTTTGTTGGGTGTAGTATTCTGCATCTGTGATCTATCAGAGCTTGTAGAATATCCATCAAGGCCCATATGGCTTTCAGAATCTCCATTATTAAATCATTATTATCCCATAGGGCCTGATTTTATATATTGCTGGGTGTTTTTCTTTTGCAGCTTTTAATACCCTATATTTTTTCTGAGTGTTTAGTGTGTGGAAGCCCATAAGTGACTCAGTTTCCATCTGGATTCTGTTCTGACTTATAAGGCATTAGAGTTCCAGCTTGCTTGTTTCAGTCTCCTTGAGAGCCATGAGAAAGTTCTGATTAAGTCCATGGGAGAGATCATATTATCTAACTAACAAGCTTCTGATGCTAGATGAAAAAGCACACAGAAATAGGGAATGAAGCTGCTTGCTGCTAGCAGGACTCATGTGATAGACAGTGAGCCTGGCTGCTCCTCGATTCAAAGATAGTGCAGGGAGCTGGTTAATTGATTATACTGTTCTTTGTCCTGTTTTTCCTCTAGTCTGTATACAACCAGATTCTAAATTAAACTTGGGGTTGTCTGGTCCTTCAACTTTCCTAAATAGGTCCATCAACCAGGAACCAGGCTTTGAAATATGTAAGCCTATGGGAGACATTTCTCCTTTAAACCACCACACATCCATTGTAATATGACTTCACTAGTTAAATGCCACCAGTGTCTCTGTTTCCAGCCCTGTGCACTTTTCACCCAGCAACCTTAGACTCCTTTTTCAATCATGCAAGCTGCCTTTGTATTAGCTTTCCCTATAGCCTTTTCTACTCTTCCAGATGCTTTTACAAAATTGGGAGACCATTAAAGGTTAACATTATGCAATGGTAACTTTTCACAAAGGTTGGGTAAGATGTGAGAATGCTACTGCCATCCATTGTTTGGAAGGTCCTATATAGTAACTTAGTTAGATGAAAGAACAATACTAAATATATATATATATATATATATATATATATATATATATATATCTGATGAACCATACAGCTTCCTCATCCTAGGATGTGATACATGAAGGAGGTTTCTGTGCATTTCCCCATGCAGTCTTGAGAGTGCTGGCTTGTGCTTCTTGCCTTTTCTTTTGACCACCATGGCTGCTGCTACAATCTGCTTCTTAGCTATGATAGGCTCTCATCCAGAACTATTTTCCCATCACACCATGAACAAGTTGAAACAACATACTCAGTTTATTCCAGGAAGGGGTAAGCATTATATATCTATCCCTGTACCCTGGCCCAGGGGAGGATCCACTGAGCTGGCATCTGCTGAGGTGATGTGGTGGCTGTTCATTGTTCTCTAGGGAGTAGTTGTTCATCTCTTGATCTTTTCTTCCTGAACTTCTTCTCAGAGCTTAAAGCCTTCCAGAAACTCACAAATGGAATTTTTTGACTTTCTGTTATTTATCTGCCTGAGAATTCTTACTGGGCATAGATCTTGTCACATTTTATTTCTAGTGGGCTGGATAGTTATCTTTGCCTGCTTTTTTCTTAACATGTCATGATTGCTTTAGCACCTTATGAATCTGAGTGATGTGCCAGTATAGATGATGCTAGCCTGCTAAAGCCTCTTCCATTGCAAAAAGTTCATGTCCCTCTATAGGCCTCAGCAAAAACACTAAAGGCCCATATTAGTTCTGAGGTCTCTGATGAGTAAACCTTTATCATAACTCTTCTGTGAATTTGGTCTTACCTGGCCCAGGGAACCTGGCATCAAACACAGGCTTTGCACACCCAATTTTCTCAGTAATGCCTGTCTTTGCTCTTGAAATGGACATCAAACACTGCCTCTTGCATACCTATTTATTGGGTTATATATGCCTTTTCTCTTGAACAGGACACCAACACTGCCTCTGCAATGCCCAGTCTCTTCAGTAATGCTTGTCTTTATCATATTATGATATCTGATCTTTATGAGAATTTCAGAAAGAGCTAATCAAGTATCCTTAATGGCTTGTATGAGCCTGTACATCAAAGAACAGGGCCCTTTATTTTGCTTCATATAATGTAGCCTTTCTCTTTAGGAGTGATGGAGAGTTGTTTTATTCAGTTTCTTTGTTTCCTCTGCACTGATCCCATCCACCATATCCCTCTGCCTCATGAGCTATGCTGTGTTTTGGTCTTCATTCTTTCTCTAATAGTCTTTCCTAATTCAGGAAATTCAACTACTGACTATCTACTGTTTACTGTAGTTTCTTGTAGTGATCTGTTTAGCCCCTAGTAAGACTTCTATGTGCATGTCTATCAAGTCTAACGTGCTCTCCTCTTCCTTATATTCTTATTTTCCTCATGTATCCAAAGATTTTCAAAAGGTGTCTTTATTTTGTTTGTATATTCATTTTGTGAGGTTTTATAGTCTATAAAATACAGGCCTTCTATTTGTTTCCATAAATTTAGTCCTAAATATTCTAGTGCTTAAGAATGATCTGAGTGGAATATTATACCTTGTAATCTTGCTATGCATGACTCTAATTATTTTCTTTCTTTTTAGGTTTAATGTGATATTTTCTTTGTATATAAATCATGTAATTTATGATGTAGACAAATTTATTTCTTCCTACACAGGCTTTCTATGCATATATATTTATATATTTGTGGCTCCAAATTATCTTAGACAGTATTATGTTAAGTCAAGTTGAATGCTCAGGTGAGGAAGACAAGGAGTAAGGTGTTGGGGTTGTATCAAAACTATAAGCTGGGGCATTAAAGCTTGCAGCTATGATAAATACATGTGCTTCTGTGTGTTTGTTCATAGATACCCCATCACAGCGGGTACAGTTTATTCTTGGAACTGAGGATGACGACGAGGAGCACATTCCTCATGACCTTTTCACAGAACTGGATGAAATTTGCTGGCGCGAAGGGGAAGATGCCGAATGGCGAGAAACAGCCAGGTAAAGGTTTGGGTCATAGAGTGAGAGCATATTTCTTTATAAATTAGGTCATCAGAAGAATAGAGTCCCAGTGCAACAATTCTGCAAGCTTCTAGGGTTGTTATAGTTTTCTGAATTTACTCATCTGTCCTGGGAAGATCTTATAATGGGATATGGGTCAGAATGACATCTGAAGGCAGTAATTAAACAGTGATGCCGAGTCAGCTACAGCAGCAGTCTTAAAGATAAACAGCAACATGGTTTGTGAACCATCAAAACAACAATGGAAATCAAAAGTAATTTGTTTCTATCGTTTCAGCTTCTGACTTACACGCAAATTGGTGATATCATAATTTCACTGTGGGGCTTTTTTTTGTAAATAAAGAGTAAACATGAAAAGAGCTTTAGTTATAATCTTCAATTTTATGTAGTATTTGGGAATGAATAAAAATATTTTAAGTTGTTTTTCTGGGATAAGAATACATTAAATATAATGTTTTTAATGTCTTCTTAAAAACTACCTTTTCTATCATCTGTAATTAATATTTTGGTAATGCCATATAATTAATGAATTACAATAAAATCAGTGAATTACAACATATACCTTTCATTAATTTGTGCTCATTTACACCAAATTCATGTATTTAGTAATCATTTATAGAGTATCAAATGCTGTATGAAATAGCAGCAGCAAAGGCATTAGATCTTACTGTCAATAATCTCACCGTCTTTGTCTAGACACAATGACATAGTAGTAAATGTTGTGTAGTGAATGCTGTGACTACAAAATACATAGAAACTTGGAAAGCCTAGAGTTGCCCTGGTCTACTGATTTCCATGTTTTTATATGACTATGATCCACATGACATCTAACTAAAAATACAGATTTTGTATGTAGTAGGCAAGTCTTACATCTTTTTATATCAGCAACATAAATATATACAATTTTTTACATTATCTCATTGCTATATAACTGAACTTTATTTAGCCAATATTGATAGAAATTTAGATTTTTTTCAACAAAAATTACTGTGATGATTCATTTCTTTACAAGCTTCTGTTTGATGCCATGTTAAATACTTTTAATTTTAGGGCCACATTCTTGATGACAAGTTCATTTGTCACAAGGGTAGCAGAGAAAGAGTAAGAATAGCTACACAGGATGGATGACTTCTGAGCTGGCTCATTTTTAAAATTTTTTTAATTTAATGTATTTTCATTCATGGGTATTGTATTTACATCATATTCATCTATCTATCCCTTTTTCTGTTTCAACTCCTTCTATGTCCTCTCTTCCCTCTCGGTATCATACCCTTTACACACACACACACACACACACACACACACACACTGTATTCTTATATGTATTTCTAAATATATAAATACAAGCTGATTAGTCTATATAAGGTTACTTATTGTGAACATAACAATAATTATTGAAAAAAGAGGCCATGAATTTGAAAGAGAACAAGGAGGAATATTTGAGAGGGTCAACAGGAGGGAAATACATGGTACTTTGAATGAGAATCATGCTTCAATACTCATGTATGTGATTATTTAGTTGTTGGAGAAGATGTGTGACTGAGGGTGGGCTTTGAACCTTCAAAAGTTCACACCAGGCCTAGTGTCTCACTCTCTGCCTGCTGTATATGGATCAGGATGTAAAGCTCTCAGCTCCTGCTCTAGCACCATGCCTGTCTGCTTCCTGTCTTGATGATCAAGGACTAAGCCCCTAAAATTCTAAGCAAGACCCTAATTAAATGATTTCATTTATAAGAGTTTCCTTGGTCATGGTATCTCTTCACAACAACAGAACAGTAACTAAGAAAAAAAAAAAAAAAAAAAGGAAGGTGCAAATTATGTAATTATTTTAATCTCAAAAAGTAATGACTCTTGAAAAGCTAAAAACAGATGTATCATAGAGCTGAGCTGCACCCTTCCTAAGCTGACTCTTGATGGTTGAGTTTGGAGTTGGTCAAACAGAAAAGCAGAAGGGGTGATATGTTCAGCAGAGGGAAAGGGTATGCTATTAAGTACACAATTACTACAGTGGTTATTGTTTTGTTAATCTATTTCCCATGGTAAGACAGCTCTAACCAGACAGCTTTTGACCTTGAATGCCTTCCTTAGGGGCCTCATGCTGAAACAGCATTCAGAAACCAACTGTACTAGTTTGCCTTAACTCTGTCCAACAGTTAGTGTTAAGTGTTTAACCATGTTATTGATGAATGAGTGATAATGATTATAATGATCAGTACTGGACCATTTAATGCTTATTGAATATATGTTTGAGCGGTCTATATAGATATTTTGTTTAAAGACATTGAAGTAGTTTATTATTTGAGACAAGGTTTCTCTGTGTAGTTTTGACCATCCTGGAACTCACTCACTTTGTAGTCCAGGCTGGCCTCAATCTCAGAGATCTTCCTGCCTCTGGCTTTAAAGTGCCAAGACTAAAGGTGTGCACCACCATACATACTTAGCTACACTGAAGTAATTTAAAGGGAAAAAAAAAAGGATTTTCTTTTTTCTTCTAGGCAATCCCTGTTAATATAACAAACCAACAAACAACCAAAAAAAAAAAAAAAAAAAAGAGAGAGAGAGAAAGGCAAACTGCCAATATTTGAAGATTCAAAAAGTATGAAATAGTAGGCAACATTGTTTATCTAAATTTATGCCTCCTTCAAGGGGTATCACTATTAAAAGTTCCTTGTGAAACTTAATACGCATGTTTCCCCCTTTTCAACTTATATTATAAAATGTTAAACTCACTTTTCATTTCATATACCTATAGTGTTTCCTATATTGGTCAATTGGTCATATAAATTTTAAACTTTCTTTTATTTTCTTTAAAATTATCCATTTTCATTTTCTCCAATTAATAAAAGAAATTCAGTATCTTTTCACAGTACTGGTAGCCCTTTCCTAGGTTTTGTAGGAAATTTCTCTGTTTTTTTTTTTTTTTAATTTAAATTAGAAACAAGCTTGTTTTACATGTCAATCCTAGTTCCCTCTCCCTCTTCTCCTCCCCTGCCCCCCACTGACCCTTTCTGTTCCTGAGGGAGGGTGAGTTCTTCCATGGGGGATCTTCAAAGTCTATCATATCATGTGGAGCAGGGTCTAGGCCCTCCCCCACATGTCTAGGCTGAGAGAGTATCCTTCTATGTAGAATGGGCTCCCAAAGTTCATTCGTATACTGGGGATAAATACTGATCCACTACCAGAGGCCCCATAGAGTGTCCAACCTCCTGACACGTTCAGGTGGTCTGGATTGGCCCTATGGTGGTTTCCCAGTCTGGAGTCCATGAGCTCCCCCTTGTTCAGGTTAGCCCCTTCTATGGGTTTCTCCAGCCTGGTCTTGACCCCTTTGCTCATTACTTCCCTCTCTCTAAAACTGGATTGCAGGAGTTCTTCTCAGTGTTTAGCTGTGAATGTCTGCTTCTGCTTCCATCAGCTACTGGATGAAGGCTCTAGAATGGCATATAAGGTAGTCATCAATCTCATTATTGGGGAAGGGCATTTAAGGTAGCCTCTCCACTATTGCTTAGATTGTTAGTGCCAGATTTCTCTTTAAACATATATTGTCTCCCTCTATTATGGTATCTCTTTTCTTGCTCACCTCTATTCTTCCCCTGACTCCATCTTCCTGCTCCCTCATGTTCTCTTCTCCCCTCCTCATCTCCCCTTCTCTCTCTCCAAACTCCTTCCCCCCCCTCTCTATGCTCCCAATTTGCTCAGAAGTTCTTGTCCCTTTCCCGTTCTCTGGGGGACCATGTTTGTCTCTCTTAGGATCCACTTGTTTCCTAGCTTCTCTGACGTTGTAGATTGTAGGTTGGTAATCCCTTGCTCTATGTGTAAAATCCATATATGAATGAATACATACCATATTGGTCTTTTGAATAATTTCCATTAAATTATGTCATTACATTAAACCAGATGGATAAAATTTACTTAGCCAGACTGGATAGGTGTTCATGTTTGTTTCTTTTCCCAATAAAATTGTTGTAATGATCTTTTATACATATATATATTAGCATTATATTGTACTTATTTGTGAAGGATAAATTCTTTTTTATGGAGGTGATGTAATTATATTTCATTTTGAAGAAACAACAACAATAAACAAACAAATAAATCTTTATACAATTAGGCTTTGCTTTGGTTCATCCAGCTATAGTTTAAGTAGCCTACAAATTCATGGTAAATGATAGACTACAGCACCTTTGTCCTTGGAGATACTGTCAGGACTGCAGCCAGTCTATTCATTCTTTTTTTTTTTTTTTTTTTTACATTTAAAATATATATATATATATATATATATATATATATATATATCCCAATCTTGTTTCACATGTCAAACCCAGTTCCCTCTCCCTCCTCTCCTCTCCTGCCCCCCTCTCTATCTCACACCCTTTCTGCTCCCCAGGGAGGGTGAGGCCTTACATGGGGATCTTCAAAGTCTGTAATATCATTTAGTGGAGGATAAATTCTTAATAGCAGAATTTTATGTACTAAAGAAAGAAAGCGTTTGCTTTCTTTCACTGTGATAGTTATACAAAATTACTATTGTAAATTTGAGATATTTAACCATCCACCATTGGTGTATAAATTTACTCCCTCCAAATCATCGATTCTCATTAACTCTTTCTGTTTTTCTATTTCAAATATAAAACATATAATTATTTAATTTTTATTAGTGAAACTACATATTATATATGCTTATTTTTTTACCTATGAAATAATATTCCTTTTACCCATTATGTCATTTTTTCTATTGTTTTTGTCTTTGTGATTTAAATTGATTTAAATTCTGTTGTTACTGTCTTAACTTTTCATAAAATAATAAACCTTACCTCTTTCCAGCTGCATCCAAAACAATAAGGTGAGCTGGTCTTGGTAGTATGCTCTTTTAATTTCAGGCCAAAGAAGTTGATCTCTGTGAGCTAGATGCCAACCTGGTCTACATGGTGAATTTCAGGCAAACAAATGAATAGAGCCTAAAAACAAAACCAAACTTCATT